CAGAGGCGGGGGGGCTTGAGAACGGCGCGGCTGGCGATTTCGACGAAAGAGCGTCCGGAAGGACATGTGACGACTCCGGACTGGACTCTGCTTCATCCACGGTGAAAGCCGATCCGGCGATCGACGCCATTAGATTAGCAACACGTTAACAGCTTACCTTTTTATAAAAAATTGATCCAAGATGACAAACAAAGTAATATGTTGATATGACTGATTTGCTAACATTGAATAATTGCCTTTATGCTTAACATATTGTAATCAGATTAGCAACAAGCTAACAGCTAACGTTTTCAAACCAACTGTGAAGTTGGTCTCTTATGTGTTCAAAGTTGCTGACTATGTAGAGGGTTTCGAATCAGTCATTTATGAGGTTTTATGAGGTTAATTTCAGTTAGTGATGCTGCCTTGGACGTCAACCTCCTATGTATGCATTAGACAGCAAAACAACTCACTAAGTTTTGGAACTGAGCCGGAGTGTATGGGGATAAAAATCAATAATGAAAACATACAAAGGAATCCTCACATAAAAACATGATAAACTAACAGAAATTAATTGTACTATTAGTACACAGCCATTGTTACCTTCTTTCTTATAGACTAATACTCAACCAGCAGGTGAAAGCCTGGAGCAGACTCACAAATTTTGCATATTTCCATACTGATGCTTGCTAGTTGGTCTCCATATAGGAATAATGAAGCACATTTGCAACACTATTGTACAGTAGAGACAAATGATATAATTTTAATGTCAAACACTAATGGCTACAACAAATTCCAGATTAATCTAAAGAAAGTTACAGCAAAAAAATACATCACAATTAATCTGAAATGACAAATAAATACAGGAAACATTTCTTATTAGTACGACTGACTACAGTTACTATCATGCTGTCATATTTGATTAATAAAGGTAAGAGTGGACATGGATGTTTTCTTGTTCAAAGCAGTCCTGCTGGTTTTACTAAACACATGCGAGGTCTTTGCTGACCTTAGAGGAACAGCGTGAGATTTTGCTAGTAGCTTTTAACTCTCATGCCCCTTTCCTGCCTACAGAAAAAGAAAACTAAACATTAAACAGCCGGTTTTGACATACTTTGATATTCGTCTTCCTATTCTTCATCCATCTGATGTTCTCATCATGGTCCTCGTGTCCACACATCCATGCTGGGTTTCTCTATGGGTCGGTAAGTTTTAAAAGTAATGGACGTAGCATAAATATAAGGGGAGAGAGGGTGAGAACGGTCCCGCTCCACTCGAGAGCAGTGAGGAGAGGCCCCCTGTCACTGCCCACCAGGAATGATTCATGTGAACAATTTGTCCTAATTACTCCAGCCCAGCACTTTTGTCACTATTAATCATACACACATGCTCGTACACACTCACACGTGCACGCATAGGGCCAGTCAATGGAGATCAGTGTCCTCGCAAATTGAAATAGATGGCTAAGACGATGGTGAGGAGGATGATGGCACCCAGGATGAAGACCAGAATACGATTTTGAATGATCCTGTGGGTGAGGAGAGGGAGAGATGGAGAGAAAGAGAAGACAAGATTAGACGATAGTAAAAAACTACCCATTTAACATTTTCACACAAACTAGCATGCATGTGATTGAGTACATGCCCTGCATCGAAAATGAATGTATTTTTCTGACTGAACTCGATAAACACATTTCACTTCAGTCAGATGTGTCTTTTAAAAAACAAAAAAATAAATAACAAACAGACTTTCGTGCAAAACATGTCACCCGGTGTGACAACTTTGCCTTTTTCCTCTCCATCTGTCTGCAGACACGCTTAGAGCATTTATTTTTCTCCAGAAAGTAAAAAGTGTGGCTTGTGGCATTTCTCAAGCTAATAAATTTCACATATTTACTGATGGAATTCTCCATAAAACCCACTTTCCTATTGTCACATAACCAAACCAAACGGGCAATTTGTGCCTGCAGGACAGTATTTGAAATTGTTGTATTTGCACATTTATTTCTTCCTGAGGTCTCAAAATGAATTGATATGCATATTACATATAAACTACCACCTAAAAGTTTGAAGTCGGTCAGGTTTTTTTTTTTTTTATGTTTTACAAAGAAGTCTCTTATCCTCACCAAGGCTGCATTTATTTGATTAAAAATACAGTAAAACAGTATTATTGCAAAATATTATTACAACTTAAAATAACTGTTTTCTATTTTAATATATTTTTAAAATGTAATTTATTACTCTGATGGCAAAGCTGAATTTTCAGCACCCATTACTCCCGTCTTCAGTGTCACATGATAATATGCTAATATGCTGATTTGGTGGTCATTTCTTCTTATTATTAATGTTACAAATAACTGTGCTGCTTAATCATTTTGTGGAAAGCATGATGTATTTTTTCAGGATTCTTTGATAAAAAGCAAATTAAAAAATATTTTTTTTGCAGAAAAAGTGATTCTGTTTGTCTCTACTCAGAAGTAACAAAAAGAGCCAAACAAACGGTTTGAAAAGTGGCAAAGTGGTACAAAGTGGGTGTGTGGACAAGTACAGTGAGGGTGAGAGCGGGAGTTGTAGGGGTGAGACCCTGGGATGATCTCTCGGGGAAAGTTTCTGTCTCCTGTGTCATTCCTGATAAATGACAGAATTATCCCATGTGCTGACATGTGGAGAGAGCAGGACCACTGTCCACTCCTATAAGCAGGAGATGAATAACTCACACACACCCATTCATCACCACTGCAGCCGAGCAGCACTCCGTCCCCATTCAACACACACACACACACACACACACAGATATAGAGATGTACAGCGAAGAAACCAAAATGGCATTACAACACATACCTCAATGCTGCTGCTCAAAACTGACTAGTATTCATATTATATCTATGCTCTGAGATGTTTATTTTGTTAAGATAAACCATCAGAGGCTTTTCCACCACACTGACAAAAGGTGTGTTCTGATTGGACGCTGGGCTGGCATAATTCATAATTGGGAGTGCATGCTTGGAGGAGAACATTTATTTAGAGCATGTTTAGCAAAGCCAGATCTCCCACGTCTCTTTAAGTAGCATTCATTATTTACACTGGCTACACACACACACACACACACACACACACACACACAAACAGACTCCAAGCAAGAGGACAGACTGTTCATGATGTTCAGAGATGTGCTGGTGCCCAAAGGGACAGGAAACAGCCGTGGGAGAGGGACGAATGGGAATTCTTGGGTCTGTAAAAAGAATGTGTGTTACAGGATGGTACTGATTCTGTGCTCACTACAACTGGAGGTAATTTATGTCAAGATCAAGATCCTTATGATTTTGCCACTTCCTGTCAATCAATATTAAGATAAAGTATGGCACTCTTCAAAGGGGTCAGTAAGATTTTTTTTTTTTAAAGAATTTAAAGATTTCTTTCAGCAAGGACACATTACATTGATCTAAAGTGGCAGTAAACGTTTATAATATTCAATCTTTTCAATATTCTATTCAACAAAGAATCCTGAAGAAAAACAAGTATCAGTGTTTCCACAAAAACACCTCGCCCTTAGTTACTGTTGCTACGTCCGATAAGCCATGGCACTTTCACGCCATACTTCATAATCTCACACAGTAAAAAATACACCGCAGAGCAAAGAGAAGACTGTCAACGTGCTGACAGACAAGACAGAGCAGGTTACTTCTGGTATGAAACGAAGTCTCAGCTTTCAAATTTGGTCCATTTTTAAGAAATTTAAACAAATACAATTTTGTGGCTCTTTAATGTGTCGTGACAGATCGCTGTAGCGCCTCAGTTTAAACGGCATGTGAACTGATCGTCTCTTCATATTTACTACTAGGGTTGGGCCGATAGATGATGCCATCGTCCATCGCCGATGGCTAACAGACATCACGATGTTAAGCCGACATTGTGCCGTGTTTGGAAAGGAAATTAAGTGTACTACGGAACCCCTAAAGGAAATAAATAGCCTACGAGATGGGAGAATAAAAAAAAACACAATTATATCGTTGGGTAATTGCGGGCATCAGGGAGCCGCTACTAATATGCAGGGCATTGAAACCGCTTTCAAATGCGCGCTCTCATTTTACTTTCACTTTCGAGATTCACGATCATACGGACTCTATACTACGGACCAGTACTGCCGCTACCACACATTTGACAAGATTATATAACTCTATACTATGGAGCGGCAGTACCTACCACACATTTTACAAGATAAGATATTTGTCAGTGGTGCTCAGTATATGCAAATCATTCGCCATTGTTCTATGAGTCATCTCTCCTTACTCTGTGTATGTGGTAAGTGAACTTTCATGTACTAGTCTACCGCTAACCATGTCCCTTTAGTGGCTCCGTAGAACGGGTTATTTGTTTTCCGTGCCTTTCTGCATACGGATTCACGCTTCGGGCATACCCCCTAACCCCGCCCCCCGATGTCATCGTCCATCACGATGTTTCACTGTAGACATCGTCCGATGCCAATTTGGTAGACATCGCCCAACCCTATTTACTACTATTTATAGCACAGAATAAACATGAATGAACATCAGAAGGTATGTTGTTTCAACCATGGAAAGACGTCAATACACATTTCAAGTCCACTGACGTTAATCTACTGTCTACACTCCTGTCTGGTTTGTTTGTAAGACAAAATGGCGGATTTGGCATTATGATTGGTCAGATCGCCTGTCAATCAAACTCCCGGTGAAGGATGAATTGAAGCTCTTCTGCACAGTAATTTTACCATGGTAAAAAGGGGTTATTACTTGCTTGTGGTATGTTAACACAACCTCATGAGGCATAGTGCTTTTTCTATACAGATTTTTTGGTTTAGCAAAAAAAGACTTCATGTATGGACTTTTAAACCCATGAATCAACTTTGACTAACCTTAATTTTCTGAACAAAAGCTCAGCTGTAGATTTTTGACTGAAGTGCAAGAGATTAAATACAGTGTGTGTGTGTTGGTGTGAGTGGTTCAGGGGCCAGGCTGAGCTGTTAGCAGTAATGTAGATTAATCTGCCTTTGGTGAGGCTGCTCTGACAGGCCCTTGAGGGTGGGCGGAGAGGCCCCGGGCAGCCCCGCATCCAGACACAGAGGGAGAGCGAGTGAGTGAGTGGCCCAGTCATCACAGAGAACAGCCACGCTTCCTTCACTTCAACGGCCCAGACCAACACCACCAGACTTACACTCTTGAAAAAGGCACTGGAAAGTTCATGAATCTCTTCACTGAGATCCGTTATAATATGAGGAACATGTTTGAGGAAGTAATTTATCCTGTCATGTATGAGAGCTCATATACTCACTGATGTAGTGGAACTTTTGTCTGTAAACTTTAAAATCTTCCCCTGTGGCAGTCCCTTTCAACCGCAACTAAAAATAACCACGAATGAATCTCAAAGAACAGAAGTACCAAAACAGACTATTTGTACACCTTTTTCACCACTCTCAGAACCAGCCTGTATTTCCACTGACTTGAAAACCAAATGATGATGCAGCTGGCTGTTACTAAATAATCTGTCCACAAACAAACATGTCACACTGCTGTCTTTGTTTACAAGCCTTGCTTCTAGTTTTGAGAACTCATTTTGACATCCAATGTAGTTTGTGAGTGTAATCATGAGCTGGCTTTGATATAATAGCCAGAAGTTAGTTAAATATACAGTATAATTAATAAAATTCATAGTATTCTATTTACATATATGATTGCTGTAAATTATATAATTCTATAAAAAATACTATATGAAAATAGAAATATCATATATTGAATATATTATAATAACATTAAAATTGTAGTAATAATAATAGAAAAATATTACACAATATTATTGTTTTACTGTATTTTTAATCAAATAAACACAGCCTTAGTGAGCATAAGAGACTTTTAAACAGTAGTGTATAAAAAAAACTTTATAATAAAAATAGTAAACATTTTTTCTTTAAAATATTTTTACTGTATTATTTTATATATTTAAAATATATTTCTTTACAGTTCAAATAACATTTTATGTTATTGTTTTGAAAGCTTGACTCCCCGTCTCTGACATTCCTGATTCCTGGGGTGCAGCACACAACACATCAAGTTTGTTTTTTGCCTCAAAACTGCCTTTTCTCCGTTGGATACACCTGGACAAGATTGGAAACTGCAACACCCTGTTTGTGGAAAAATGGGCATTGCATACTTCTGTAGCTAATCTATTGGCTCCTCCACCTCCAGTCTCACCTGGGTTGAATCACATTAATATAAAGGGAGGACAGAGACAGAGACAAAGACAGCAAGAGCAGGAGAAGAGTTGCATCTGATGCCTGTCTGATGGAGGTTCTATCCCATGCTGAACCATGTCAGGACAGAACAGAGCAGGACCCATCAAACCGCATCCATCCTCTCTGTCAAACACATGACAGAGGCTGGAAGAGACCGGTTCATGTTGTCACAGCTCATAGCTCAGGGTAAACCTTCTTTTACACATTCACTTTTTCTGTCTCTCTCTCTTAGCTTAGGTTCAAAAATGTACATGTAAAATCAAA